ACTGAAGCACTTATGTTTTACGAAGAAATATTTCTTAATTTAGTCATTTAAATTGAAACAAGACAATATTTTGACCTTTATTGTCATGTTATTGACATAGCATGATAGGAAGCATGCACTACTATTAAGGGCAATGGAAGACAATCTGAAAAAATACTAATATGTAACAAAACCAAAATGGTGAAATAAAAATGCACACAATTTTTTTTTTATGACACAGGATTCGTTTTTGGGAGAAATTAAAAAAAAAAAAAACAACCAAACTATTTCCTGCAAGTCAAACATCAAAAAGTTGATGTTTCAGGTGAAATGAAAGGTCTGCATTTATCCTCCTGTTACTTGAACTAAAATTAAAATAAAATTAGAGAGGATGTGAAACCTCCTCCATGTGGCATAGACCAACCACTAAGGAAGACCTGGGTAGCTCTGTCACTAATTTTTATCCTTGCAAGGAGGCCTCTGAGAGAGCAACAGAAGGATAAAAGCAAAAATTAATCCTGCTGCTATTCAGTCCAGTTCAGTACAGTGTACCTTGAATACATGACCAGTCGAGGTTAGCTAACTTCAAGCAGTCTTACTGGACAGTATTCACCCTGACTGGTTTGGGTGGCTGACTTACCAACCTCCTCCCTAGGGTCCTTCTGTAGCCCACAGAGACTAAAAGTTTCTTCTGGAAGGTGGCACTGAAGGCTACAGGGCATTGCTTGCATCTCCTGTTGGACCAGGGTCTTTCTTGTTCTTTGCTGGCTTTGGTGGGAGACCAGGAGGCCATCCTCCCACCGATCGTTAGATGAGGTGACTGCCTCTCTCCCTCGTGTTCCCTCCTACTAGGGCTGCTTGGTGATTTAGTTAGGTGCATGCTTAAAGGTCTCCCTGGCTTAGATCCAAAATGCTCAGCCCTGTGGCAGATGAAGCCTTTGTCAGGCAGGCAAAGAGTGAGCACCTTGCTCGCCGGTGGGGAGGTGTGGTGGGTGTCCCTTCCCATGGCTGGGAAGGGACAGGAGAAGGGAGAGATGCCCCCTTCCCAGCAATGCTGGGAGGCGAGAGGCTCAGCACACATCACTGGCACTGGAAGCTGGTGGGATTGGGAGGGGAGGGAGGTGCAATACCTGACCTAGCAGGAGCCGCACACATGTGTAAAGGAGGCGGCACGAGCTGTGGTCACAGAGAAGACCCTGGTGAAGGTGAATGTCTGCGTACGCTGAGCTCGGAGGTGATATGCAGTGAGAGTGGAACGAGTTACTGTGACTGCCCTTCTGGTTTATTTTTGTCTAGGGGAAGAGAAGTATTGTCTTTTGTGTGCAGTATGTTTATAACTCAATTTCCCTTCTGCCTGATGCCTTGCTCCACACTCCCTTCTCCTCCTCCATCTGGTTTCTATTGTAGTTTTAAATGAGGACAGTTTGGCTGTCTGGCAGAACAAGCGGGGTCTGTGTGACACCAGCTGATTCTTCCAACTTCTAAGCCTCCAGCACAGTTTTAATTATAGAAGTGTCAAGATTGGCCATCCCCCCACCCCTTTCTGTGCCTGCACGCACATGCACGGCCCCTGCTACAAATCCCCATCCATGTCCAATCTTCCTTCAGGAGAGACCCAGCTCTGTGATTTACGTGTTCCCTGTAATGCCGATAGAGTCCCGTTGTAAAGTCCATGCTAGAGCCTGTACCTCCCTTCATTCAGGGTTGATCACAGCCTTTGTTTTGGTTCATTGGGAACCACATCTGAAATAATCAAACCACCTCAGAGACAGCAGGAAGTGGGAGGGAGCTGCTCGCTGCAGCTCTAACCTCACCTCCCCCAAATGCCCGAAAGACTGAGCTTTGTAGGAGATCAGAGCTGCTCAGGAATTTCAGAGCTGCAGGTTCTGCTCAAAGAAAACATTTATTGTGCTCCAGTTTCATACAAGTGCTGCATTTAGGGGTGTGCTTTGCAGGAAGCTGATGCAGTCCCTTCACCTCCAGGGATCTGGGGTCAAAGTCTGTAATTTTTGGTTGTGAGTGAAATATGTCCTATCTGGGATTTTTTTTTGACAATAAAAACCCACTGCACATCTTGGCCTAACTGGCTGTTTCTCTTCATAAGAGCCAAAGACCTGGTAGGGCAGGAAATCATGAAAACATGATGGGCACTGGCAGAGATATGTGAGAAGCCCAGGACTGGAAAAGCAGGGAAGATTGCAGGGCTGGAGTAAGAAATATCTGCAGAGCCCAGTGCATATTGTCTATCTGCAGTCTATAAGGTTGTCTCTGCTGTGGAGTCTTCATCCACTTTTAAAAATTGGTTGAATTTTATATGTTTGCTACAGATTATTCCCCTCAGGCCCCTTTTTTTGCTTACCAGTTCTCAACAGATGGATCTAGCCTTCTCTGGTTTTTGTGTAAGAGGTTTGCTTACCTGCCTGAGGCCTCTTGACCTGATTTATCCCAAGGAAACTTAAAACTCAGCAAAAAAAAAGTTGTGATTTAAATGGTCTTAACTTTCAAGAGGTCAAATTAGTCACAACAAACATCAGTATATGCATTTTTAGTTGGTGTGCTTATTCTTAACACTGAGGTTATAAAAATTATCTAATAAAGGGCGCTGTGGGCACGGCCCTCATTTGTGTGGCAGCTAGGCACCATCATATGAAGTTTGTCTGTACAAAAGACTATTTATTTAATTTTTAAACAAACCTTGTCACGTGGCTGTCCTGCTCTAATAGGTTTTCTGTTCAATTAATTATTCTTTTTCCAGGTGGCATGAAGTGGTTCACCCATTTTCCCACCCAATGGGTCTGAAGTGAACATGGATCTGCCTAGCTTTCATTTTTGCTGTTCACTTTAGATTTATTCCCAGAGACCCCAACCAAGAAGGAAATCTTACTATGCCATGTATGCCATAGCTCCTGCCACAAAGACGGTACAGCCTGGCCAGACAGAAATGAAGAAGAGGCCTGAAGTCATCGGCCTTTTCCTTTTTTTTTTTTTTATTTCTAGCATGCTCAGCGTCATATGACCTGAGTTCCCTACTGCAGTTACAGATAGTCAGGGCTTACTCAGAGATAGGAAGGTCCTCTTTCTTGATGTGTCACTCGGGCTTTTCTCAGTACTCAGTAGGATTTTAAGAAAATTTCATACTTTTCTTTTGCTCTGTCTCCTTCTGCATCATCTAGTCCTCTTAGGAAGTGGGTGGTGTAAGCACTGAAAAGAATGCTTCCCATGTTCCTTCTGGAAGGTCCTGATGTGCCTTCTCCTCAAAAGTCCTTGAGGAGAGAATCCTATAGCTCTGTGACTGCTGTGGAAAAGCTTTGACTCTGTAGATTTCACCCTTTCTCTTGGCAATTTCATGGTTTCCCATGAAGATCATTGCCGTAGTAGGGTAGGGCCCCTGCCAGAAGCTCAGCTGTTAGTCTTAGCCCAACAACCTGAGCGTCTTAAAAATGAGCCCAAGGGCTTTGAGTGTGACACAGCATGGCTAATGTACCTGTGTTATGAGTCCCTGCTCAAAAAACCAGAAAGGAAATTTTTCCCTGTTGTTCTGAAGAGGCTTCTTTAACTGAGGAGAATTACGATCCAATGTTTGGATCATTCAGGCTTCCAAGTAATCACTAGCAGTTTGTGTATTCCTCCATTTGGGCTGGCCACGCTGAGAAGAGAAGGGACACACAAGAAGGACCTCTGTATCTTCCTTGGTAAGAGTTGGGAGGCAGAAAGGTAGCGCTTCCCTAACTGACCAGGCTCAGTAATAGCATGCCACTGAGGTAGGCACCAGCCCTCCTCACCAGAGCCTGCACCCTGGGCTGCTGGGCAGGGACAAGTCCACCCATGAGCTGGCTCTGGCCTCAGCAGCACCCACGAGAAATACAACAATGCAGCAGCTGTTTTTTGTTCAGGCTGTCCTTGGAGTGCTGTCTTTGGATGCTGCCTGATGAAGCGCATGTTAATAATGTCATTAGGGTCCTGAACTTCAAGCAGAAGAAGTCAGGAAAGGTCCAGCCAGAGGCATTGTCTCTGTGGTGTCGCAAAGATGCAGTAATTTCTATGCCTGGATTTTCAGTCAAATATGTGGCTTAGTCTGTTTTCTTCCATACAGCTTTCTGAATGTACAGTGCAGCAGAGTCAACATTACAGCGGGGAACTTTAACTTCTGCATTTACTGACTTTTGTGCTTATGGCTGTGTGAAGCATTGCATTAAATACACAGCAGTTTCTAACACCTAATAAGGAAGGGCTCTCTTACTGTTATTGTTATAGCTAGGGTTGTTATAGTGCTGGGGACAGGGAGGCTTGGTCTCACCAAAAGGATGAGGGTTTCCTATACCTATATAGTGGGGAAAAAATAAACATACGCTTTGGGTCTAGGTCTGGATGTAAATGTTGTGCCTCAGGCTCATCTTGGCTTTAAGGCTGGTTAAGTCTTTGGCTGGTTATGTTGATGGAGTTCTTTGAAGCCAATGTCAGATTTTGTCAGTGTGCAGATCTAGTCAATATTTGAACTTTATACCTCCTTTGTGGGAGTTTATGAGCACTAAACTGTGGGTATGTAGGCTTATATGGAAGTGCGAATGGTTCTCTGATTTTTATCCAAGCCAATCAGACCTTTTGGCACAATTCAGTGAGGCTGGAGCTCTATCGTGGGGAGGAGGGAGGTTCTCAGGACCTCATGCTTTATCTCATGCTTTCAATTAGAATGAAATTGCCTCTTTTTCTGGAAAGAAAAGAAAAAGGGAGAGAGAGAAACACTACCTTTCTTCCCACAATGTTTCTTCAGGCTCAGTCATTGTCATATGGCAATGAGCGTGGCATGGCCCAACCATAGCATATCCTCTCTCTGCAAATTAGCTACAGCCACTTTGTGTGGTTTATTTTTGGTTTGCCCTGTATTTTTCCCATTGCTGTACCCTTCCCTGCATCTGCAGAGAGCCTCTGCTGCTGTTTCATGAAACTGTCTCCTCTGTGGTGACTTGTGGAAGTTCTTGGTGTGTATTCATTGGGCATCTTGCCTTGTTTTCCTCTCCTAGTCCCCTACGTGCTGAAGAGCTGTGCAGAGTTCATTGAGACTCATGGCATTGTGGATGGGATCTACCGCCTATCAGGAGTGACATCCAACATACAAAAGCTGAGGTAAGGACAATCTGTCTGAGTGCCAGAGGGATTCTGTGACAGTGCTCAGTACCTTTTCACTGTTAGTCCCTCAGGCATACATTGGGGTGAACAGAGCTCTACACTGATGCAGAAGAGAAACTGTCTCTGAAAGCTGGTAACAGGGAAATGTTTCAGGGATTAGTCCATGACAAAGAAAAAAGTATCTCCCTCTGGTCTATTAATGGGAAAGGCCTGGAGGGTCTCAGCACAAATGCTGTGGTGTTCTCTCTCACTTCAAGACAAAGCAATCTCTTTATATCAGTTTGAGGTCCACTCATGGGACTATGTTATGGAAACCAGAGACTAGTAGAAAACTTGGGGCCTGACTCTGGGAGACAATCTGGGCCAGGCTGCAGAGACATCTCTGCTTTCCAGTTTGTTTTTTCCTCTAGCTGTAAAAGAGTACTTAGGGTGGAGTACTGGGATGCTACAGCTCTTATTCTCCTACATTGTTATGTCTCCATATTGTTTCAGACAAGAGTTTGTTTCTGACCAATGCCCGGATCTGACAAGGGAAGTTTACCTCCAGGACATCCACTGCGTGGGGTCGCTCTGCAAGCTGTACTTCAGGGAACTGCCCAACCCTCTCCTCACTTATGAGCTCTACAAGAAATTCACGGTGAGACCCTTTGCTGTTCTTATTCCTCTCCAGAAGTGTGGATGTGCTGCAGGTTCCGCCATGACAGCTGTTTGGGATTCACTCCAATGTCCTGGGTTCTGATGGATCTGTCTGTATAAACACTTCTCAGTGCTCTTCCCTTC